ATAATCTGGTAATCAGAGACTCTGATAATTCTCTGTCTTGTAATGGGCTGCATTCAGACTATTAATAGTCAAAATGATTAGTGATATAGTTGGATGAATATGTGCTATATTCGTTTCTATTTTTGCATTGCCCTTGTTATTTGTGTCTAGTTCTGTCTTCACTATTTTTCTACATTTTGTGGTTTTCATTGAGCCTTTTGTATGATTCAAGTTTTTGTCTTTCCTTACCATATCAGTTTTAGATTCTCTGCTCCGATAAGCTGTGACTCTATGTCACCTCTGTGTCTCTCCAATCTTGGTGGCAATTCTTCTTCCTGTGTCCTTATCCACCACATGGATCCTAAAAGTTCCTTTTTTAGTTTCTTAAACTGTTTACTTGCTTTTATGATAGAGTGGGGACTTCAAGCATGTTTCCAAACATGCAGAACCGGAAACCCAGAAGTGGTGTTTTTTATAGTAGAGAAAACGTGTAAGAATAGATTAATCTTGCATCACCCTATCATGTGTGAAAGGAGGGATAGAGAAATCTAGAAAAAAAGTCTTTTAAGACATAGCCATCATTAACACAATATTATGGACTATATTCCCTATGCTGTACTTTATATCCTCTATTTTGTAACTGCCAATCTGTAATGTTTTTGCCATATATATTGTTGTTTAGGTTCTACATATAACAAAAACCATATAGTATTTGTATTTCTATGTCTGACTTATTTCACTCAGCATAATACCCTCTAGGTTCATTCATGCTGTCGCAAATGATTAGATTTCATTCCTGTTTATGGCTCAGTCATATTTCATATGGTGTCAGGTCAGAAGGCGATATTGGGAGGACCACTTTAAAAGTACATGACTGTCAGAATGCTATGCTGTACACCTGAAACGAATACAAAATTATACTGAATGTCAATGTAATTGGGAAAAAGATAACAAAGACACAGCCAGGATATCAGTAACCTTTTTCTGTGATGGCCGGATTGTAAATATTTCAACTCTGTAGACTAACTAGTCTCTATTAAACCAGATATTTAAAGCCCTATCTCCTAATTATATGGTACATTAGTGTTTTCTCTTTCAAATTAATTATTATTTTTTATTACATATTAGTATTGGGTGTATGGCATAGCGATTAGACAGTGATTGTGCAGTGTTCCCTGTGATATTTCCAGCACCCATCCTGCACCACACAGAGTTATCACACTATTATTGACCATATTTCCTGTGCTTTTCTTTTTATTTTAAGATTTTTATTTATTTTTAGAGATAGGGGAAAGGTGGGGAGAGAAACATCAATGTGTAGTTGCTTTTCACCCACCCCCCACTGGGGATCCGGCCTGCGACCCTGGCATATGCCCTGACTGGGAATTGAACCGGCAACCCTTTGGTTCACAGGCTGGCACTCAGTCCACTGAGCCACACCAGTGAGGGCTGCCCTGTGCTTTTCTTACTATTTTGTAGCTACCAATTTGTTCTTGGTCCCTTCACTTTCAGTGTTTTGGCTTTAAAAACTGTTTTTCTTTCATCCCTGTAGCATATCTCAAAATCCCCCATTAAGAAAACTAGCTTTTTGTCCTGAGAGTCCTTTTTGACACCTATTACTATACAACTGTGTAACATGAAATGTTATGTTTCATCCATCACTGAGGATAATGACCAATAAAATTTAATGAGACTCACACAACAGCAACTCATCTGACCCAGAGATGACAACAATAAAAGAATGGAAATTTTTCAAAACTTGAAAAATTTTAAATGCCTAAATAAACATGTAGCCAGGGAGCCATCTAGTGTATCTTCATTTACGCTTTCTGTTTGTCTTCAATAAAGAGAAATACTTGTTGACAAGTTGGTAATTCTTCTAGTCCAAAAAGCACAGAAGGCCACATATATGTATGGGTTTCGAAGATTTCTAGATCCTGGTGGCATTCAGCCAATGGGATTGTTCTGTCTTCTCCCCCTTGCCCCAGCCGCTAATCCTAGAGAATTAATTCTGGTTTTAATCCCATTTTCTCCCCCCTCTCCTGCAGTGTGGTTGGTGGCCCATCAGCTTGCCTTGTGGCTAGGTCTTTGCTCCTGGGTACAACAGACCTTGGGAGAGAAACTTCTTCAACTGAGGCAGCTGTGTAACCTGTTGGAATCTCTCTGCGGACAATGGCTGTGAAAGGGGCAATGGGCCTAGGAGACTGACTGTAATATGAGCTTTCATTTTTGCATTTTCTCTTAGTGTTAGGTATTCAGAAAATATGAGAGGGTCCCCTAGGGGATAAATCAATAAATAGATAGATAGAATCAGAGTTGCCCAAAAATATAGGAGACCCAATTAAACTTGAAGTTCAGATAAGCAATGAAAATATTTTCAGTGTAATTATGCCCTTAGTACTGTACATATCACCCTTGCACTGAAAACTCATCTGTTGTTTATCTGCAATGAAAATATAGCTGGTCACTCCATATATTTACTGTATAAATTTGATAACTCTAACTTCAGTATAAATATCTCTCATGGCATTTGTAGTGTAGGACAAGGTGTATGGAGCCTGGGCAATAAGCTTACTATGTCAGCATCAGAAACTTAAGACTTTGTCAGGCATTTTGGCTGTAGATCTGTGGTTTTGTCTATGTGATCAAATATACTGTGTGTCTTCCACAGTGTTTGGTATATTCCAGCTCAGGGTAGTTGGTTCTATGAATGATATAGAGGCAATGCTTAAACAAATATTTAAGTGGAACTAAATCTCATCTTTGCAGGCCAGCATAGTGACAGTGAAAATAGTCACCTAATTAGAAGAGTGACAAGAGAAATGCAAACATGGGAAGTGTGGGAAAGGCTGGACATCGTCATGTCGGACATCTTCTCCATACCTGGGGATTCTCTTTCCAGAGCTAATCTGGGTCCAGTGTTTGTGCCGTTGGAATTGTGGATGCTGTTTCACTCACAAAGCCATTGGTAGCTGCCTGGGAAGCCACAGTGCCTCACACTGAGGATGCAAACTAGGGACAGTCAAAGCAGGCAGACCATGGAATGGCATGGGGTACTTTGTGCAAACTAGGGACAGTCAGGTTGGCCCTAAACAATAAAGAGTGCAAAAACACAGACTTACCAGATAAGTAAACAAGGCCCTAGCGATCACACAGCATGGTACCAGAAGACTGAGGCCATCTCTAGAAAGCCTCAAATGGGGTGTCACTGCTTTTCATCACAACACTTCTGTCTCAGGAGGTCAGTAGTAAACCTTCAAGTCTACCTTAGCTATAGCAACATAGAAAAACAAACACTATATCTAATAGCTCATTTGAAAGTTGCCATCTTCTTCAGGAATATGAATTTGGCCCCAGTTTTTAGACCAATATAAAACATGATACTCTTGCAAGATGTATGTTCTTGGGAGAAAATGTACTGTAGTGGAAAGCTTGTCTCCTTGTCACAGTACCTTGTAGCATCTATGTGGTACAATTTTTAAATTTTATATTATGTAGTGAAATTAAGCTGGCCCATGCCTGACCTCCTCTTTACCAGGAATTCTGGCACTAGCTGAAATCACAAAGAATACTCATACTGCAGAGTTATAATAATAAAAAAAATTAATAGAATAGTATCCCTTACTTGGATGCCTGAAGATCTTTCCCAATAAATCCCTCTGGATCAATCTATCAAATTTCTGACCGTGGAGATAATGTAACATTTTTTTTGTAGGGCTTTAATTGTAATATTCTAATCTTGGCTTCTTCAAAATTGCAGCATACATAATACATTTATTTTTTATTAAAGTATAGCTGGCATATGACATTATATTGGTTTTCATATTAGGTTCAGATGTACAACATCAACATTTATATTATCTTGTGATACAGTCACTATAATAAGTTTAATAACAGCTATCGCTGTCTTTTCAGGCCTATTTAAAAATAAAACAAGTTGTTCTCTGGTGGCTAGAACCTCTTTATGACCCAGTTCTGTTAAGTTCTGATTAGTTATGATCCAGATAAGAGTATTTAACCACTTGGATAGATACTGAATTCAGCACATGCAACTGGGCTATTTGTATGAGGGTTTCTGACCTTAGATGAAATGTGCATTTAGCAAATTCAGTTGTACTTTGTAGAAGAGATACCATCAGATTCTGATTCTCTGTCACTTGAAACATAAATTACATAGATCTGAATTTAGTACACATTTCATAAATTTAGCTTTGATTTATGAATGTCCCTAGGGACTAAGACACAAATAGATTCTTGATAAATGTTCATGATATAGGGATATTGTTTTTAAAGAATATTAATGTACTTTTATTTTCTAACATATATTCATGTATGAGAGTTTTCATGTTTTGCTAGATGTGCCAATTTCTGCCACTGTCTATGTTTGTCTTCTCTCTGTTGCATGCGTAAGGGAAGGGTTAGGATCATAACAGAAGTGCCAAAAAAGATGTCAATGTTAAACTGTTACCATGTAGAAGAGGATTTTACCCTCACGTGCAGTGGGCAATAACCTTAGAAAACAAGTATTGTCAAGAGAGTGGGAAAGAAAAGCTATAAACACTTTTTGGAAGTTTCCTTCGACATAGAGAGGCAGGCAGTAAAACCGGAAGGTCACATAATCTCATCTACAGACTAAATTTAGTCTTTGAGTTGATGGATAGCATGGGTAGGTGAAAGGAGGAAGCAAGTTGAGTCCCCTGGAGTCCCCTGTGACTCCTGTGTGGTATGGAAGTCACTTAGAAGTTCCTCAATGCTCCATGGAAATACAGGAAAAGTAGATGGTGGTATTGTTGGGCCACTCATTATCATAGCCCGAGGGGAGCAGAGTAGGGGATCCTGAGAAAGATGATAGTGATTACCAAACAAAAAATTAAATATTGTATTGTATGTACCTATTGGGACAATCCATGTAAAAAATCAATTCAAGCTGCATTTGACAATATAAAGCCACACACTTTATAACCAGAAGAAATAGATTTTATTGAAATTCAATCTGTCAAAGTACAAATGTTTTTGTACAACTTATGTTGCCCTATTTTTGAAAACTTAGCATGTAATAGTACATTTTATAAGCATCTCTCTGCATTTTTCTTGTTGGTTTCACATACTACAATACAGAGACTATTTAAAAGAACATATAGCAGAAGTTCTGAAATTGTACATTTATTTGAAAAGTCACTTTCATGAAGAAGTTTTTTTCAACATTTTATCTTAGATATTTTTATAATGGAATAAATGCAAATAAAATTTTAAAGGTAAAGGGCTATCCAACTAACCTTTTTTGTTATTTTTTAATTTAAAAATGTTTATTGTACTGTGCACATCCTTAGTATTTTCTACTAGATGTCTATAACAATGACAGAAAAGCATGTATTGTTACATAAAAGGTAAATGAAGAAATAACCATGGATGTCAAATGTTTTTGTGTCTCCATGTGTTAATACTGTAGAATACATTCTCAATTTTACTGTTAAAAACTGATTTTGGAAATGTTAAACTTAATGATAGGTGTTGACAGAGGTTACAGAACTGTATGAAGAGAATATTACTTTCTATACAACTGAGGCCCTGACACTCTCAGTGGAGGTCACAGTTTGTATCAATGTAATAAATATTCATCAAATTATTGTACAGACTGTGCAGATGAAAGTACAGCCACATTTTAATTGTCACACATCTAACAAGACAACATGTTAAGGGATACCACATTTATCTGGGTGCTTTGGAAGATGGAACTATAAAAGAGTAAATCTGTAAACACTTTTAACATTCTGTGTATAAGAAATTATACCAGGCAGTTTTTCATGTGTTTTTTCCCTTCACCAACATAGTGAAAGGTTTCCTATTAATAGATGTGAGGTATTACAAAGCCACTTGGGATATTGTTTGAATAAGAGAATGAAATCAGACCTTATATTTTAAGCTTTAGAGGTTTTCTTTTATTTTAGTTATGTTCCAGATAATAGAGTACCTGTTTTTTTGAAATAGAAACTATTTTTAGTTTCTCAGACTCTTAACTTAAAAATTTATAATGCTTTTATAACCTTTCGTAGCTTGGCAACTGTTAATTTTGTTTAAATACTTTTAAGTAATGAGGCTAAACTTAGAGAAGTAGATTTCCATGTATACTACCAGCCATAACAACACGTATGCTTAACTTCCTATATGTAATTCATGTTTCAAGTTTGTTTTGCCTTCACAAATGAGAGCAATCATAACTACACATTAAAATGACATAAGGATTTTCATGTTTGATTACAAATTGAAGCAAATAACATGTTTTTTCCTTTTATCTTCTTCCTACTCTATTTCTTAAAGTTATCCAGTTTTCCTCCCTTTGATGAGATGGCTCTATGGTAACTTCACCACTACAACACAAGCACCAGCTCTTCCGATGTTAACAGGAACTTCCTAACACAAAAAACAGATACAAAAGAGAAATGATATAATTCTGTGATTAGCATAATAGAGCATATTGGAGTTGATCGAGCCTTTGGTTACTCTGGTGTGACCTTCACTTTGGTAGAAAAACAACATAGTTCTTACAAAATGTGATATTAAGTAAGTTTCATCTCTCCAGTAATTTTTTTCACTTGAAAAATTACAGCTGACAACAGATATCCTTCAAGGTTTTGTTGGAGTTCAGTTCAAGGTGAAGAGGTAATAAATGAAAATAATTTGGCATATAGCATTTATAATTCCATTATTTGATAGCTCATTTTCACTCTTTCCAACATCACACAATGAAACAGTGAAAAGCCAGGAATAAAATCTAAGATTCATAGGTCCTGGTCTACAATTTTCAGAAAAGTAATTTGCACCAGCTTAACAGTCATTTTGATTAATGTATTTGACCTAACTCCTTGTTTGCTAAAATGTTTTCTTCCATTTTTAGCTGGTCCTAAGCAGTGATACTACCAATATGGCAGAATTTGAATGATTACAAGGGTTCTAATGAATCACATTGTTGAAGGAAAGAAGAGATAGAAACCCATTATCACCTCTAACTGCATGAATGTATATTTATTTAGAATAGTAACCAGCTCACTATGTAGAATACAGAACATTATGAAGTCAGTATAAGAGAAGTTAGATATGAAATACCAAGTTTGCCTCTTTATGGAAATGGTGAAGAGTTAATTGTATTTTCATTTTTATTAACCCATAATTGAATTAAAAAACACCATTATATATTTTGCAATAAATCTACAGCTGTCATTGAAAAACCCATCAAAAGCATCTATTTTGCGTTTAACATCCTGAAGAAGTCCTTTCAGTGCTCCATCTGATACTGTCCTTATCATTTCTTCTGTCAGATGCCCAATACTCTGGGAAGGATTCAATTCCAATCTCTTAACTGTGCACTTAATTCCTTGAATGATTGATTAAAAGTTACAACTATGGAAGTTCATACAACATCTATAAGGAGAAGATAGAATGATTTCTCTCCTTAGGTGCCTGCTTATAAGAAGGGGCAGATATTGCAGATGGATATTGCTCTTTGGTTCTCAAGTCATTAATACATACATAGGATGCTGGCCAGATAGAAAAGCTCTTGCCCTGGCTGGCATAGCTCAGTGGACTGAGCGCGGGCCTGCGAACCAGAGTATCGCGGTTCAATTCCCAGTCAGGGCACATGCCTGGGTTGCAGGCCAGTTCCCAGCAGGGGCCAGTTCCCAGCAGGGGATGTACCACAAGCAACCATACATTGATATATCTCTCCTCTCCTTCCCTTCCCCTCTAAATATAAATAAATAAAGTCTAAAAAAAAGAAATTTAAAAAAAAAAGAAAAGCTCTTGAGTTACTGAATCTGATTCACTATTCTGTGACATAACTGATAACACAAAGTCAAGGGATTGCTCTTCCCCCGTTCATATATGTTAACGATGGATCTTTCTAATGATCAATTAGATCAATTAGTGATATTCTATCACATAAATAAAGCATGTACTACAAATTTCATGAAAAGGTTAGACCCTAAAGAGGAAGAGAATGGAATTCATTCCAAACATAGATAAATGTATTTTAGTTAAACCAGAAATGTTCCAATTTGAATACTTTTAAGAAGAGTACCTGTTTCCATTCATCTTTCTGTGCATTGTATGACTCAACAGTATTCAGATAAGAATGCCCGTCATATCCTCCAACCACAAAGAGTTGGTCTCCCAGGGCGCACACGGCAACAGCGTCTCTCGGAACACTCAGAGGAGCCACAGTTGACCACGAGTCATGTTTGGGATCATACCTGGGGGGTTAGGAATACAGTTCAGAGGAGAAATCCATTAGTGTTAAAATAAAAAATAATAGGTTTTTATAATGTGTATACATATCTAATATAAAGAATTAAAGTGCCTTATAAATAACAAGTGTAGTCTGACTAATAAATGTAAAAGACAGGTACATGACAGAATTGTCTTCAGCTACCACAGGTCACTCAAAGCATAGCAAAAATGCATTTTTTTTTGCAAAAATACCATACATTAGTTTGGTCAGTATTCAGATTCCCTATGAGAAAATTTCACTTAGTAGCATTTTAACATTATGTGAAAAATGCCCCCTCTCTCATTATGCTTTTGGGAGAGCTTACGCTTTTCTCTTTTTCTCTGTAGATCAACATTATACATTGAGATGCTTGATTGTGTTTATATGAGAGCTCACATTGTAAGTATATCTCAATATAATTGCTTTTTTAATCTAGAGTTAACTCTTTATACTTAAACATTTCTCTAAGCAAAATGAAAGATAATTCAGTAAATAATATTAATTAAAATATTCTCCAGGAATTCTGTCCTACAATTTAAAGCCTATTTAAAAAAAAATACATAACTAAAATCTAAATGAAGTGAACAATGAAAGATAAGTCATATAATTGTACATGGAGATACTCTCATTTTATATTGACCTATTTGTAAAATCCAGTGATAAAGAATGATTTTATAAAAGAGGCATCAATTTATTAGCCTGTACTGATTTCTTTATATTTCTATTACTTCTCTTATTTATGTTTTTATTTTTTAAATTTTATTTAGTTATTTTTCAAGTACAGTTTTTTGTCTATTTTTCCCATCCCAGCCTCCCCCGCCCCTTGCTCCCCACCTCCCTCCCATTTCCACCCCCCTTAGTTCTCATCCCTGTGTCCTTCCTATTTGTTCCTCCAAATCCCTCCACCTTTTTCCCCTTAACTTCCCTTCCTTCTCCCCTCTGGTCACTATCCCCTTGTTCTCTATTTCAGTGTCTTTTTTTTTTTCCTGCTTGCTTGTTTGTTTTGTTGTTTAGCTTCCTGTTAAAGGTGAGATCATATGGTATTTGTCTTTCAGCACCTGGCCTATTTCACTCAGCATAATGCTTTCCAGTTCTTATTTATGTTTTTTAAAAGATTTTATTTATTTATTTTTAGAGAGAGGGAAAGGGAGGATGAAAGAGAGGGAGAGAAACATTGGTATGTGGTTGCCTCGCATGCACCCCCTACTGGGGACCTAGCCTGCAGCCCAGGCATGTGCCCTGACTGGGAATCAAACCCAGTGACGCTTTGGTTCACAGGCCAGCATTCAATCCACTGAGTCACACCAGCCAGCCAGGGCTCTTACTTGTCTTTTTAATCTTTTTAATCATATTCTAAATCATCTGATCCCAGCTTCTATTTGAACTTGGCCTCATACCCAGTAATATTTTTAACAATGTCTGAGATCATCAATAATTAAGATAACCTCAATATCCAGTGCATATTGTTGAATGTCACATGGCATATATATAGCCTTAAATTTTGATGTTCTAATAAATCCCAGAACCAGAAAATTCATAGCTCTATGCTTAGCTAAGCTGAACCTTCAACATAATTGCCATTGTACTCTGAGGCTACAGTCAGCATAAGAGCACACACATGTTTGAATAGTGAACCAGGCCTCATAAAAAGATATCCTGGAGATTTGCAACCAAAATCCAAGACTGTCATGCTTGGGCATGATAATTAATACAAAAATACCACTAATATTAATTTGATCCTGATACTGCTTGATTAGAAAGAGGGGAATGTTGAGTCTTTTACAGAAAAAAAATTATAATGTGGTTACCATCTGTAAAGAAATACAGGAGAAGTTATTAAAGAAAAAATTAAGCACTGTGTCACTTTCAAATTAAAATAGCATCATGTCTCTCTCTTTTTGTTTCTCCTTTGCTTGTCTATCTCTCCTTACTTTGGAGATTTTACACACACACACACACACACACACACACACATCTTTTGCCAAAGTATAATAGAGTGGAACTGAAATGGAGCCTGAAGTAAAAGAATGAGTCATAGACTTATTTCTCCACTAAGAGAAATTAAGGATGATTTGCTTGACTTCTTGGCTTTAGTTTTTTCATCCACATTTTAGATATAGTAATCCTTGACCTAACCAAGATAGGTTTATGTAATGATTTAAGAAACAGTTCATTTGAATGGTTATCTTAATTGGATGAGATGCCTAAGCTACTGGGCAGGACCACAATATGATTCCACAGTGTATACCTTTGATTGACTTTCTACTGACAAGCGTATCTTACGTCTCTACAGGTATAGAAGTTAAGTTGTAGAAAACTGAGTTTTCTTGTGATTCTTCTGCATAAAAATACAAATGAATTTTGCTTTATAGAGACAGAATTAATCTTTACCATGTAGAAATGATGACCCTCAGAGATTACATTATATCCCTAATAGGATGTTCACTACCTTTGCAACCATTAACAATTTTTCAGTCTACCTAATTGTCTACATGTTGTTTCTTGTAAGACTCTGTTGAACTGGTTGTAATATCTTTTGGGTTATTTCACTAATGAATGATTCACATAAAATCTTTGATGTATTAATTTTATATTTGAGTGAAGGATAGACCACATTTTGAACACCAAAACAAGTCCTTAATACATTTAAAAAGGTTGAAAACATGCTATGTCTCTTCAAAATGGAATTAAACTATAAATCAATAGCAGAAGGAAAAACTAGAATATCTAAAAAATATGGAAAGAAAAAACCACATGTTTAAACAACCAATGATTTATGTTGTGTTTTTCCCAGACCTGATATCCCCTCCATCTATTTGTATGTTTACAAACTACAAATTCTACTTGTTCCATGTCCCTCTTCTGAAGACACCATCACATGCTGATTGCTATCTTCTGAATCCTAATAATCATACTGACTGTAAATTTGTCATTTGGTCTGACAATAATATTATTTGACTATTATGTTTGTACACACATTTTCTATGTAAATGAAATTTAGGGGAATGTAAATGATATAACTACAAAGTCATATGACTGACACATTTTTAACAAACTTAGCATACTTTATTCATTTAAGTGAATATTTCCCATTAAAAGAAATTACCTTTGGGAAATTAAATAATGCAATGGACTCATTTTTCACAACATTATTAACACCTCCCTTAGGAAATTAGTTCTTTGTAATATGTGGTGGTGTCTATCTTTTGATGATTGATTTGAACTTTCACACAGTAATTATTTTGATTTGAGCTGGTGAATAGGTTGAGAGATATCACTTGGTGTAAAATTTCTTTATTCTTATATCCCTTTGTCTTATTATTTTTGAAAGATTTTACTTATTTATTTATAGTGAGAGGGGAAGGGAAGGAGAAAGAGAGGGAAACATTGATGTGTGGTTGCCTCTCATGTGCTCCCTACTGGGGGCCTGGCCTTCAACCCAGGCATGTGCCCTGGCCGGGTATTGAACCAGTGATCCCTCAGTTTGCAAGCCAGTACTCAATCCACTGAGCCACACCAGCCAGGGCTGTTTTATTATTTCATAAGGTGACTATCAAACAATAAAACAGCACATTCTTTCTCATATGTTTCTTTTGATGGATATGAAACACATAAGGAGGAGGATTTCTTTAGAATATTTTGAGACTAAAGGTAAATGTGCAATTTTTACAAAGGATTGATTCTCTGAAAGGATTAAAACTTATTTGGAAAACTACTTTTGGCAGTCTAAACATATTTCTCATTTCTGAAATAAATAACCAAATAAATACATACATAAATAAAACAAAATCTCTTTTACCGTTCCACACAGTCAGAAAGCCTGGAGCAATGGTTAGAAGCAGGGGCATCATGACCACCGATAACATATAAGAATCCATTGTACGTTGCAACTCCCACACCTCCACGTCTTTTGGACATTGGAGCACATAGACTCCACTTGTTAGTGTGCGGGTCAAAGTATTCCATTGATTTGAGACAGGAACTTCCATCGCGTCCACCAATAGCATACAGCCTAGAAAAAAGACACACACACACACACACACAATTTCCAATTTATGCATAGAATGAAAGTGAGAGCCTTGTACAAAGCATTTTTGGTTCTTGACTATACAGGGTGGGGCGCAGAAATAAACCCTCCCCTTTATGGTCCATTAGCATTTGACAAAGGAAGCAAGAGCATACAATGGAGCAAAGACAGTCTCTTCAATAAATGCTTTTGGGACAATTGAACAGGCACATGAAAAAATATGAAACTAGACTGATATCTTACACCATATACAAGAATCAACTCAAAATGGATAAAAGACTTAAGTCTGCAGTCCTGCAAAGAAGACAATCATGGTTAGATTCCCAATCAGGGCACATGCTTGGGTTGCAGGCCAGTTCCCAGCAGGGGCCAGTTCCCAGCAGGGGATGCACCAGAAGCAACCATACATTGATGTTTCTCTCCCTCTCTCCTTCTCTTCACCTCTAAAAATAAATGAATAAAATCTTTAGAAAAGAGACTTAAGTTTTTGAAAAACTATAAAAATCATAGAAGAAAACACAGGCACTAAAATCTCAGACATCAGGAGCAACAATATGTTTGCAAATTATATGCCCTAGGGCAAGGGAAGCAAAGGAAAAAATAAACAAATGGGACCATATTACATTAAAAAGCTCCACAGCAAAGGAAACCATCACTGAAATGAAAAGGGAACCCAATTATTGTGTGGGAGAATATATATGCCAATGACACATCTGATAAGGGTTTACTGTCCAAAATATAAAAAGAACTTATGCGACTCAACACAAGAAAGACAAACAACCAATTAAATAATGGGCAAACCATGTGAATAGACACTTCTCCAAAGAGCACATACTGATGGCCAATAGACAGATGAAAAGGTGTGCAATGTCACTAATCAGAAAGATGCAAATTAAAAACTACATCCAAGATTACTCTATCCAGCAAAGCTTTCATTTAGAATGGAAGGGCAGATAAAGTGCTTCCCAGATAAGGTCAAGTTCAAGGAGTTCATCATCACCAAGCCCTTGTTATATGAAGGTTGTTAAAGGGACTTATCTAAGAAATTGAAGAAGATGAAAAACTATGAACAATAAAATGACAACAAACTCACAACTATCAACAACTGAACCTAAAAAAAAAACCAGCGAAAACAAAAACTAAGGAAATAACTAGAATAGGAACAGAATCACAGAAATGGACATCAGATGGAGGGATTTCAGTGGAGAGGGGGAAAGGAGGAATGTGGGGAAAGGTACAGGGAAGAAGCATAATTAGTAGGCATGAAATACCTACTAATTATGGTAAGTATTTTACCATAAAATAAAAAACGGAATTCCAGTTTTTCTGAAGAAAAAATAGAAAGATAAAAAAATGGTATAGGAAATAGAGAACTCAATGAACTTATAAGTACAACCCATGGACATGAACTAAGGGTGGGAATGCTGGAGTCTTAGGGTGTGCAGGGAGGAGGGTGGATAAAGGGGGAAAAATTGGGAAAACTGTAATAGCATAATCAATAAAAATACTAAAATTTAAAAAAATAATAAAATAAAACCACAATGAGATACTGCTTCACATTGGTCAGAATGGCCACCATTAACAAATCAACAAACAAGTGCTGGCGAGGTGGTGGAAATAAGGGAACCCTAGTGCACTGTTGGTGGGAAAGCAGACTGGGGCAGCCACTGTGGAAAATAGTACAGATGTGCCTCAAAAAATTAAAAATAGAACTTTTTGTGGACCGTTCTTCCTGGTTTCAGGAATTGTAACTCTCTACCCCTTGTGGCTAAGGATGAGTCAGTGACTTCTGGAATGTAAACCGCAGAAGACAAAGCTTGTCTTTGGTAGCAAATGCTACCTCAGTTTCCTCCCTGCCCCCAAAGCATGGTTAGAAGTCTTTGACGAGTAAGACCCTTCAGAAGAGGGGCAACCTAGGCCAGACATGACCACTTGGGAGACCATTGTAGGATTCGGGGAGGCTGCAACAAAGAGCAATGGACTCTTGCCCCTGCGGCTTTGACAAAGCCCGAGTCCCCATGATCTTTGGGAGAAGTGCTTCCTGACTCTAATCCCCTTAAGCCTGAATACCTGATGGGGAGGGGTGCAGCTCCTTGCCTTGCTAGAGTGTGTCCTGGGGAAAAATCTGGCATTACAAAGACTTTCAGATAAACTTGTGAAATCTGTTCTGCTAAGAGTGCTTTCATTCATATGTTAAGGGTTCGAGCAGGAAACTCTAAAATTCTGTTCCTGACAAACTCTGACTCAGACTAAGCCCTCAGATCTCCTGGAAATGTTATCTACTGTTTGATCCTTGCCACCCTGTATTCCTGTGTATTACAACCCAATAAAAGGCCCTGGAGGATGGGGCTCAACACCTTATTTCCCCTGTGAAACTGGCCACCTCTCCTCTCCAAGCAGATCATGTCTCAGTCTTGTTTACTCTCATCCATGGCACACGAGGGGACTTGTGAGGAAAGTTGCTCCCACAAGAACTTACTACCTTTTGACTCAGCGATCCCACTTCTGGAAATATATTCTAAGAGTCCTGAAACACCAATTCCAAGCAATGTATGCACCCCCATGTTCATTGCAGTTTTATTTACAATTGCCAAGATCTGGAAACAGCTCAAGTGCCCATCGGTAGGTGAGTGGATAAAAAGCTGTGCTATATTTACATAAATGGGATGCTACTCAACCATAAAAAGAAGGAAATCTTACCTTTTTTCGACCTTATGAATGTATCTAGAGACTATTATGCTATATAAAATAAGCAAGTCAGAGACAAATACCATATGATTCTACTTATATTTAGTATCAAATGAACAAAATAAAGTGCAAACAAAATACAAACAGAGCTGCTGGCACATGGAACAGACTGACAGCTGTTGGAGGCATGGGTGGGAGACAGGGGGGACTGGATGAAAGGAGGTGAAGGGATCATCCAGGGAACACACATGCATAACCCATAGACACAGATGGCAGTGTGGTGAGGGCCAGAGGGAAGGGGGTGGGGATTGGGTGGAGGTAGGCAAATGGAGATATCCCATGGAAAATTATATACAGATAAGAGGCATTGAAAACATCAGCAATATTTGTCAGTTATACCTCATTAAAAGCTGAAAATGAGGAAAAAATGTAGGATGTTTTCAAGGACCAACTCTAGCAACCTTACAATGTATCTACTTTTAATTGCCTAGCATTAGAATTGATGTTGTTTTTATGAGCTAGTTTATTTAGTAAAAATATATATTTGTCAGTAGGAAAATGTTAACTTGATAAATGACTAAGGGAATAGAATCAAACCTAGCAACCAATTTTTTTCCTGAGAAATATATATTAGCTGTGACATTTCTCCCATAAACTTAAAAATGTCAATTCTCTTAATGAGCCATATTTTAACCTAATTTGCATTTAATTCTGCATCAGTAAAGAGGATAAACATTTACTCAGCCATATGTCTACAGCTGCCATTCATATTCAGTGTGAACAACAGCAAATCAGCAAAATAAAGTTAAAATAATCAAATTGGATTATTTCAGCCTGTTCCGTAATGGTGATAATAGGTAGCAGATTGTTACTGAGTCACCTGATAACCTTCAGGTGAGGACAGAGATAACCAGATTTCAGAGTACTTTAAGCTCTAAGATACCATAATTCTAGGGCTCCTCTTAACTGTAGACATTTCCTACTTTTCTTGCATAAGGTGCTAAAATCGATCTGAGCCTATTGATGTACAGAGGCACTGGCTTGATGCATGGTCACTACATACATACAAGGCTGCTGCCTGCCACTGACCCATCCTGCTGTCTGAATTTATTATCATTCAAGTCCTTCATATATGCTGGTCATTGTCTCCAGAGGTCTCTTGACAGAAAGCACATATAGTTAAGAACTCAAGTCCTTGATAACCTCTAACTTCATTTGCTTTTAAAAAAGATCTTAGCTTTCGAAGGGATGCTGGGAAGATGGCGACGGAGTAGGAGGGAGCTGATGCTAGCTCCTGTACTCATGGGTGAAAATCCTGGCAGATCTATAGAGAAACAGCACAATAAACCATTGGTTACCCAGCATTTATGAAATTAAAAGACCAGAGACTGTGACCGACACTGAAACACCAGACAGCGGCAGAGTCAGCTACTGAAGCTGGGACACACACGGCCCCTGTGCTGCCGCCAGAGCAACAGGCCTGGGAGCCAGGGAGTCAGGTACGGGAGCCGGACACTCCAAGCCCCTGTGACGATCCTGGGTGACAGAGGAGTCAGGAACCAGAGCTGGGACATTCTTGGCCCCTGTGCCGATGCCATAGCTACTGGCCTGGGCAACAGAAGAGTCACTTGCAGGAGCTGGGACACAGGAGGCCCGTGTGATGCCGCCACAGAGACGGGCCTGGGTGCCGGGGAGCCAGCTACGGGATCTGGGATATTCTGAGCCTCTGCACCACTGCCATAGACATAGGACTGGACGCCAGGGAGTCAGGTACGGAATCCGGGACACTCCAAACCCCTGTGACGGCCCTGGGCGGCAGAGGAGCCAGCTACGGGAGCCGGGACATTCTTGGCCCCTGTGCTGCTCCCCTAGTAACGGGTCTGGGCGCTTGAGGAGGCGGCTACTAGAGCCGGGACATTCATCAGTGGTAGGCGAACAACGCAGGGACCAGCCCGAGGACCAGCGTGAGAGTAGGTGGACACAGAGAACATCAAGAAACTTCAAGGAGTCTACACCACTGAACTTCAAAAGGATCATACCACAGAAGTTCACACCATAAAACTAGGGTTTCAGAACAGATCAATTTTAGCAGAGACTAACAAGAAGAGTCTCAATCAATGGGAAGACAAAGAAACAATCCCCAAATGAGAGAAAAAGCAGAAACTTCAGAAAGAATGTTAGATGAAATAGAGGCTAATAAACAATCAGATAGTAAAGTCAAAGCACTGGTTATTCTGAAGTTCAAAGAGCTCACAGTGAACTACCAGAAACTACAGGGGAACTACAATGATCTCTCT